GTCAGACCGATAGTAGAAATCGTTACAAGCGTAGGCAGATATAAATTCCGAAGGCGAACCTGTGTCGCCTTTGTGTGATGCGATCTATCATCAAATAAGACTTGGGTTAAACCGCTCTTTGTGTTGCTTACTTATGAAACAAATGAAAGCATGCTAAAAAGACGCCACATTCCCGATAGAACTGCCCTAGGCTTTAATCTCGTAATCCTGTTGTTACTTGTACTAACCTGAATTTGGGATGGTAGCGAGCCCGTCGATGATTGGTTTGAGATTGGGGTTGTCGATCAGACCGCCCAGGAGCATAATGCCCAACACAGCAAGACCGTCATCGTACTGAACCGCGTTGCCAAGGGAACCGTACTCAGTCTTGAAGTGCACCAGGTGAAGCTCGGCAGCGTATCTAGACGGAAATGCAAACAGTATTCATATGCAGGTGAAGTATTCGTGGCATATATCAGTACATTGAAAAGTTCCACTTCTGAAACTCTTTAATCCTTCTTTAACTCACGCGATCCCATTGATGGTGTGCTCAGATCCCTGCGTGCTGACGCTGCCCCAGTGGAAGTGCAACTGGGCGAAAGTGTATTTTCCGCCCAACTCTCCGCCGCTGACTGAGGGAAGCTCATCGACGTCTGTGATGTTCCACGCAACCTTAGCTGAAGGAGGAAGGATAAACAGGCTTCTTAAATTACTTAGGATAACGCACACTGGATCCAAAATACCGGTCTCTACGTTTATATGAAAAAAAGTGAGGTATGTGAAACTTTTATTCATATTGGAATCTTCTGACCCAATACTATGATACTATGATCTCTGTGGAAGCAATTAGGGTTGATTTTAGTGATTCTTCGAAATTTGATTTATCATTCTTAGGTTTTGGAAGTTGACATTGGTATTCATTGAATCTTCCAAAAAGAATGTGCTTCGTATCAAACTTGGTAATGTCAGATCATAAATGTGGTTATGTGTGTGCTTAAATATGAATGTATGGTACCTGAATGTCCATTGTTTTCAATCTTGAGATCCACGGGGACGGTGTCGTATTTGTCCAGCACCCAGGCGTCGGAGGAGCTCTTGCCAGTGGCTTCGAGTCCATTCAGGGCGATCGGGGACTGACTGCTGCCAGCACAGTAATTGGGAAACAGCGTCGCCCAGTTCTCGGGGCCTGTTAGTGGGACAAATACAACTATCAAGGAGGCGAAAAGCAGCTTCCCTTAAATTTCACTTTGATGAACTTGATGTCGGAGGAAAGCGCGGGCCCACAACCAATTGCGTTGCAGATACAAAGTTCTTACACCCATTGTGGGAAATTCAACTTTTTATCTGCACGGAAGACATTAATGCCATGAGTTTTTGCTTACCTCCTTCGCCCTCGTAACTCCATGATGGTACCGGAACTGGGGGGGCAGCTGTAGTGGGAGCTTCGGTGGGAGCTGGTAAGTGGTAATAAAGAAAGCACAGAATTTGGCATCAGCAACGTAGAATCACATTTGTAGTAAGGCACTTATAAGTAACAAAAATATCGCGATAATAATTTGCAAAAACTGATTAACACTGTTCAAGATAAGGAAAAAGCTCAGTTGATCATCAAAACGTAAGTGAAAGGTGCGCTATATGATGACTAATATCAAGTATGCTGAACTGAGAATATAGAATTCCTAAGGAGGTTATGTGACGCATCATGGTTTAAATATTATTCTATAGGAATATCCAAGTTAGTAATAAATAAAGGACAATAGGCTGAGATCGGTCATGGATGTGACGCATTCACCCACATTTAGTAATTGAAGGACAGTCATGTTACAGTGAGAAACATGATAAAGTCAATAGGACAAACGCATTTAGGGGGATTTCACGATAAACTCTTTTATTTTTTTTTTTAATAATGCATTTGAGTGAATTAATATGAAAGTACACACTTACCCCATATGTATGCGTCAATATCAAGTCCACTTGCAAAAAAAAAACAAAAAAAAAAACGTGTTCAACGCAATCTGAATTTAGCGCAGTCTGGTTGTGAGCCAGACCGAGCACGAGTCATAAACCAGAGGCTCTTGTCTGGCCAGTCAAGGTGATTCTTCGAAACGCGGCTTTTGAGTCGATATCGACAAATTTTGTGGCAGTCGCTTGTTAGAATATCCATGAGGATATTTAAAGAGGAAATAGAGACAGAGGAAAGGAAACTAAGCAGAGCACACGTAGAGAAGGTCATATTCACGCAAAAAAAGCCTTTGATAATACCAACTACATTATTACCATCATATTCGTAACCACCACCAAGACACGAGGAAAGCACACTTAGGATAAGTCGAATCGTTTAACAAAATGCAGTTTAAGGCAATACAATAAAAGAGAGTTGACGAGGAAATACCAATAAAAAATTGAATGAGTTATTGCTTACCTGTGATTCTTATACCCCTTTGCTTTGATTGATACTCTCACCCTCTTTTTCTGGTCCTCCCTGTTCCATTTCCAGCTTTTCTCGACTCGCATTCTTTCT